TTAGAATTTTCTTTGATTTTTACTGACATTTACTCTTAAAGCCTTTAGATTTACTAAACATGCGTGCAGTATACGAGTCTCGCTTTCGCAAATCTTTTTATGCCAAACGAACTCTAGGTAAAATATGAACTGTTTTCCTTGTGGCAGTGGATGGACGGATAGATCAATTGATCGGAGAACCAATGTTATGATCAAAGACACACTGCAAAGTTGTTTGATAATTCAGACACTTGAACAGTTTTAATTTTGTTTTTCTCTCGGCTTTTAACCCGAGGCCGGTGCTTTTAACATGAGATGGTCAACGTTAGTTTTCAAGTAAGTTAGGTTGGTAATCTGAGCAGGTCGATATAACACATCCTTCAGGCCAGGAGGACCATACGTATGTGATAAGAAAGAGGGATGAGAATTATTCAGGCTTCCTACTATTGTAATGATCTTCTGCAGTTCCTTTTCCAAGAGGTGCCACCAAATTATTCAGCAATATTTTTTCCCCCTTAGATATGGAATGTTTATGGACAGAAAACTGTAAAGGAGCTTTACAGGGTGTCAATTGAAGAATTCAGGTACATGCTTTTGTCTATACAATGTCATCGCGTAGCGCTCGATCCCGGCGGCCTTCTCCGAAATTCCATTCCCTTATATTTCTTTCGAGGGCAAAGGTGCTAACCATTTTTCCCTTGAGCTGAAAACCAGTGGCCACTTTCATGCCATCAGTGCGTGATCCCTTTTACTGCGACAATTTATCCTATCTTGCTTATAGAAATTGTTTCACAACGCATTTTCAAAGAAACGCTGCATTTCTTATGTATTTGTCTTTATTACCCGTCGATTCACTTTCTGTCTTGTTTCATTTTCACGCGTTTCTAGACCTGGTAGCGTTGTGGCCATTGTGCAGCTGGTGTTTGAAAACTCAACCATTGATCCGCTGCAACCACTAAAGGAAGAAATTTCTGATGGACATCTGGTTTCAATCCTGGTCAACCCTGCATTGGATGTTGACCCAAGTATTCTACCCACAGCAACAAGTATGTGTAAACACTCCATTCATTGCTGCCTATTTTTATGATAGCTTAATCAATAGTATATCAGCAACTTGGTTGTTGTTTCATCGTTAGAGAGGAATTCTGAGCCACCTTAATTTTTGTTAACTTGTCAAATGCTTTGTTTTGACTACCAGTGCTAATTATTGGCTCCAGACTAGTTTTTACGCCGTTTAAGTACTTATAACGAGGGTGGCTTTTATGACCTTTAAACACATAACTGCCCTCTGTCTCTCCCTCTTTAGTTCAGTTATATTTACGTTATCGAGTACAAATTCTGTAAGCAAAAAGAAAAGCAGGAGGTAGCAGTTGTTCCCCAAACAAATGGTCATCTACTTGCTAAAGGTTTAAGATTCACATGTTTCGTATTTTTGTTTCCAGCAAACCTTAAGGAAAACTTGGTAACGGGTGAGTAGCAGTTTTGCTTTGAAGACTGAAAAAGATAACAGTGACATAGCTAGCACCTGTCATGAATTAGGGTAGTGTCAGTTAATCCAGTGCGTAATTTCACCCAAGCCAGAAACCTGCCATACTGTAACTTAATATTGGGATAACGTGTCGTACTCTTCATTCGTATAATTTTGAGTGGATTGAAACAATGTGATGCGACTTAAAGCTTTGTAAAGGAAAGGAAACCAATGTTCTTTAATGTTCTTGTTTCGTTGTTCATGCGGATTTAAGTTACTTATCTTGCCCGCCTCGATTAACATTGCTATCCTTGGTGGGGAAACCATATTTATTCTATTCAGCTGTGTGTTTATTTTGTTTAAAGGATTATTATTAGGCCATTTATTGTAAACTCTCCTCAACGAGGTTAAAATACGAAACAGATTTTAAACTTTAAGCTCTAGTAAGACAGGCATACGTCGCTTAATCTACCTTTTTTCATTTTTGTGATTTCTATAGATGCCGATTGGGTCAATGAAAGAACGATTCTTCACGCTGTCTATTCATCTGCGATTGGTCTCCTTGTTGTTGTTATCACTGTTCTAGCGATTGTACTTTGTATGAGACCAAATGACAAAGGTAATATTTTCAGAATCTTTACGACAACTTCCTTACAACGCATACCCTCCAAGGAGACAGAAATGTTAGCAGATTGCATTTTAAAACAACCTCTTGACCCTTAAATCCGTTTGGATTGACAGACGTGTTTGTATTTTCAAGTGTCGTGTTCTTTGAAACACTTATTATTGGTGATTAGATAGGAGGAGCTGGAGTGGTAGGAAACTTGTGATGGGTGATTTACCTTAATTTCTGTAATTAAAAGTAGTGGTTGTGGTATGACTGAATTAAGAGTTAAGGAATACAAACACACTATTGTACAAGGAAGTGAACGTATCGTTAAGCCCTATTCGGTGGGTGATGGGCGTACAGACACAAATATAAATTATTTTTATTCTTATGTTGCACGTCTGTGAAGTACAAAACTGTTCTCCCTTCTTGGTGC